GGGAGGCTGGTGGGCGAGGCCTGCAACTATGTGCCGGACATCACCCTCATGTCCTTCATCTTGTTCTTCGGCACCTACGCCTGCTCCATGGCGCTCAAGAAGTTCAAGACCAGCCGCTTCTTTCCCACCAAAGTCGGTCTCGTTCGCGCTCGCCGGCCGGCCGGCCTCCAACGTGGCTAAGGGTGCCCAAACCCGAGCCGAGTCGCACTCTGTCTCCTTTGCAGGTCAGGAAGCTGATCAGCGACTTTGCCATCATCATGGCCATCCTTCTCTTCTGCGGCGTGGACGCTCTGGTGGGCGTGGACACCCCCAAGCTCATCGTGCCAAGTCAATTCAAGGTAGCCGGAGTGGCGCCACACGATACTCGGGAAGTGCCGTCGCGCCCCACTTTTTTTTCTTCACCATTGTCGCGTTTTAAATACGACAGGACGACGTATTGCAAAAGGCTCATTCATATGGCTATTCTTGTCAGCGTCAGGAGCTATTTTAGTCATCGCCGCCTTGGTCCCGGCCGAGCGCCCGCGGCATTGCGAGCGCCGCCGCAGGGCCGTCCTTGTTGGCGCTCGTTCACAGCGGGGCCGGCGGTGAAAGCTTCAAGTGGTTGTTTGAAGTCACTCGGGCGGCAGCGGAGTAACCGGTCCAAGCAGAAATGATCCTCCCGGCCGGGTTTCTTCATAATGACCCCTTTGACGCAGCCGGTCCAAGCCGCGCTTTTCCATGACTTTGGGCCTTTTGTTTGGTTTGCGTACTGACGTGGAATGGGGGCTTGCCAGGTGGGTGGGAAGAGTCGCGCCAAGCTGGGAGCGGGCTGTCAAGTCCGAGGCCTAACGCTCGCGTTTCCCGCCTTGTCCACGCCGTCTGAAATGTTGCCCCTTCTGTGGCGGGAAACGGCAAGTCCAATACCTTCGAGTCACTTTTCCCGCCCGACCGTGTGGAAAGCCATCGCCGCTGTCGAAAACATCGGGCCTTCTGAGCGCCTCTCCTGTCTGAGCGGGAGAAGTGGCGGTAAACCAGGCCAAAGTCCTCATTTTTTTCTTTCACCCGTTTTTTTCTGCAGCCCACCAGTCCATCGCGCGGCTGGTTCATCGCTCCCTTCGGGGCAAACCCTTGGTGGGTGTACCTGGCCGCCGCCCTCCCCGCCTTGTTGGTCACCATCCTGATCTTCATGGACCAGCAGATCACGGCGGTCATCGTCAACAGGAAGGAGCACAAACTCAAGGTGCCGTCACATCCGGGGACCGCGTCGTCCTTCTCGGCTCTCGGTCCAACCGCTGCGCCGGGCTCCCGCAGAAAGGCGCGGGGTACCACCTGGACCTGTTCTGGGTGGCGGTGCTGATGATGGTGTGCTCCTTCATGGGCCTGCCGTGGTACGTGGCCGCCACCGTCATCTCCATCGCGCACATCGACTCGCTCAAGATGGAGACCGAGACGTCGGCGCCCGGAGAGCAGCCCAAGTTCCTGGGTGTCAGGTGGCGGCCCCCGTCCGATGATCCCAACCGCTGGCTTTCCCCGGATCCTTCACTTTTTCTTCCCTCCGTTCCAGGGAGCAAAGAGTCACCGGGATCATCGTTTTCATCCTGACCGGCCTGTCCGTCTTAATGGCCCCTGTCCTCAAGGTAAGCGCCAGACTTCTCTTCTCCTGAATTCTTTCCGTGCGGATGGGGATTAATGTAAAAAAAATCCCTCTTAAAAAAAAAAAAAAAGCGTTCAAAGAAAGCCTGATGTGCAAGTTCTAAAGTGGACATTCACCTTCTCAGATGTGTCCGGTCTTTTTAGCTTCTTTAACTGTTGAACTCGTTTGATATGCTTGGCCATAAAAAAAAAAAACCCTTCACGTTTGTCGGGCTTGTTAACAACACTTGGATTCACAAGCCATTTCTTTTCACTTCAGAGGGATTTTAAGCACGGAGGCGTTGACGAGCCCAGCCAGGAGGGTTCATCCCTCCGTGTTAATGGCCCCTGCCCGCGCCAGATTTCTCTTTAATTCTCCCGCACAAATATGGATTAGGAGGCCTTCTGTCAGCCTCTTTTTAGGGCAGACCCGCTGTCCTCCCTCGAACCCGCTGCCTCCGAAGGCTTCATCCCCTGAGGAATCGGAACCGTTTTCCAATCCGTCGGTATTCGGTAGACGTCGAGGCTGTTCTAGCTGCAGTCACTACCCCCCCTGCCGGACAAACGGATGCATTGCTTGAAGTTTGATTGCATTCATTCAGGACCTTTTTCTCTTGGCTTGTGAGTGATGATGATTATTATTCAGTCGCAGTTGCTTTATAGCGATGAAATATTGTATTCCACAAGGTAAAAATGAGACGAATAGTTATTATTATATCAGAAGAAAAGCAAACATATTTGCATCGAAACGCTCATATTTGGAGCTATAAGTTGGAGGTGTTTGTCCCTCGCCGGCCGCCGTACCTTCATTTCGCCCGTGACGCCAATCAAACGAGCCGCTTGCTGGGAAAGGACGAATCGGAAACGCAGCGCTCGGACGGCGGATATTTCGAGGGATACTTTGAAGAAATGTCAACAAATAAAAGGTGCCTAAAAATACATGTGCTCATGGAGGCCGACTCGCCGCTAAATTCAAGTGTGTAATTCCAGAATGTTCCGAGAAAAGTCGATGCAGGCTATTTTTAAGTGAAGCCCCGTCGCCAAAAGGTTTTTTTTTTTTTTTTTTATAAGTCATGGCGACATCTGTTTTGGTAATCGTGTGCTGCTGCGGTTGCATTAAATTCACTTTGTGTGTGTGTGTGTGTGTTCACGCACTTAGTTCATTCCCATGCCGGTGCTGTACGGCGTCTTCCTCTACATGGGCGTGGCCTCGCTCAACGGTGTCCAGGTGAGTCGCTGACATCAATAGATTGATTGCAATTTTTCTATTTTGCAGCCATGTTGAAAGGGCAGAGAGTCCGCGATCGCTCGAGTCCCGAAATGTCATCGGTGTCGCCTTTCTCTGGATTTCTGTTCTGCCGCCGCCGCCGCCGCGCTAGTTCATGGACCGCCTGCAGCTGCTGCTGATGCCCGCCAAGCACCAGCCGGACCTGATCTACCTGCGCCACGTGCCCCAGCGCCGCATCCACCTGTTCACCTTCATCCAGGCCTTGTGCCTGGCCCTCCTCTGGGTGCTCAAGTCCACCGTGGCCGCCATCATCTTCCCCGTCATGGTGAGCCGCCGGCGGTCCGTCGCAACCTTTTATCGAAAGGCCCTCTCTCTCTCTCATGAGAGGCTTGCGCTGGGAAGGGGCGAGTATGGCGAAGGACATGTCTTCCATAAGAACCGCTAAAAAACTCGCCGCATGGCTCGTCTTGAATGTCAGTGTTTTTTTGTTTTACATTTCGTTTGCCATTCATTCCACGAACGGCATCACGCACTTGGGTCTTGCTACCGCAACGTGTTATTTGTTTGTACACAACATCTGGGATACAGTAATTCCCCCCACCGTCCATCACGAGTTCCAGGTTTGTTACAGTATTTTGTTTATTTGGGGTGCAATCCCACTTTTGTCCAAGTGGCGGTGCTACACTTTTGTTTGACACAGTGTAGATTGGACAGAAGAATAAGAAATACTCCCCGTGAAAACGGGGAGTATGTCGGCCCAGTGGAGTTTTTCCCCGAAGAGGATCGAATGCCACAATCCTCTTCAATCCTGTTTTTGACGCCGACAAGTTCATTCGATGAGGTTGAAAAGCATACTGGGCGAACATCTTCACAGGTGGCGGAAGGGTTGGCTTCCGTCGGACGATTAGAAAGCTCCGCCGCGCTGACTGGCTTTGTCGTTTTGCCTGGCGTCGCATGGACGGTTGAGGAAAGAAGCTCCATTTGATGTCTGACGGCGCGTTTTTGTCTTAGATCTTGGCGTTGGTGGCCGTGCGCAAGGCCATGGACTACGTGTTCTCGCAGCACGACCTCAGCTACCTGGACGACGTCATCCCCGAGAAGGACAAGAAGAAGAAGGAGGACGAGAAGAAGAAGAAGCAGCAGCAGCACAAGAAGGGCAGCGTCGACTCGGAAAATGACTTTGTAGGTCCTTTCCGTTTGCGCGGCGTCCGGCGCGCATTTCGAGATGCGACGCGTTTCATGTTGTCCCTCCTCCGACAGTCCGACTATCCCGACCATGACAATATTCCCAGTATAAAAATCTCCATGGATACGATGGAGCGGGAGCCCATGTTGGGACACGAGTCTTTGGCTAGTGAGTACCGGCCGGGCTTGGCTCTTCTTCGGGCTTCTTGCCGCTTCATGCTCGGCCGCCCTTTCCCGAAAATCGCTTGCCGACTCGCTCGCGTTTAGTCGTTTGCCTTCGGAGCCGACGCCGCTGCACGTTTGCCCGATGACCGCGAAAGATCAATTCTATCGCCGATCACAACAGTCCAAACTGCCTAGCGTCCAAATTGTCTTTGTTTACTTCAAGGTTGCAACCCCCTCCCCAAAGAAAGAAAGAAATACGCACACGCACCCATCCATAAAAAGCATGATTGGTTCAAGAATCCGACAGATCTTTGGCGTTTCCTCAACATATCCTCTACGAAATGCTTTCAGATGTGTTGTCAAAAAGCAGCGGTATACAAAACTCGTCTTTTCCTCAAACGTTGCGAGTTAGATTTGCCAATCGTCATGTTTGCATATTTCCTGAAAAATATGGAACATTTTAAGAATGCGTTTGTGCAATGCTCTCTTTGTCAAAAGACGAGCTAGATTGACGAATTATAAAATCATTTTTGGCTTCTCAACCCCCCCCCCCCCCAAAAAAAAAACCCCACTAACTTGTGTGCTTTCTCAAAGAAATGTTTGGATGTTGATTGCTGAAAAACTTTTGCTCTGTTCATCGGGGAAGCCATCTTGGCGTTGGCGTTCGGAAAACACGCGGGAACTTTGACGGTCGCCGGAATGAAAACCAAATCCGGTTTCACGCGGAGACCTACCTTAGGTTCGCCGGAGTCGAAATTGCCTAGTTTTGCAAAGCGTGCGTGTAAAGCCGAGGCGGGGCGCGGCGGTCCCCTGCCGCTCGCCGACGGCGGCGACGCGGGAAGGGGCCCCCGAGGACCGAGCGGAAATTGTCTCGGCGATGAGCACAAGTTGATCTTTGAGCCTCGTGCCCCGACTCGGACGTTGACGTGGTTTTCCTGCCTCCGTCACAGGAGGCGCATCGCGGCCTTGCCGCGGCGCGCAGTCGCCGTGCTGAGCGCCGCCCGGAGTCGTCCGCAGCGGCCGAGTACGTGAGTGGGCGCGAGCGCCTCGGGCCGGGCTTGGCGGCCGCCGCCTCCAAAAGTGCACCAAACGCCTTGTTGTCTTTTCTTCAGCCCGGAGAGAGGCCCCCCCTCGGGGAGGGGCCCCCCCCCCCCCCCCAAGGCATCGCCTCACGTCCCAATCCACGGCGACGCCGACGACGCTTTCTTCTGGAAAAAATCCTCCGAAACCGATCTGTGAAACCACATGAAGAGCAACTGAATATTTTTCTACTCTCCTTAGTGCTATTTTTAAACATTTCTCTAGAATCGTAAGTGGATGATCTTTTTTTTTTGGGGGGGGGGCGGCATGTGATTTTGTTTTAATGATCATTTGTGGAGTTTTCCTTCATTTTATGTATAAAAGATAATTTATTCACGTCAGAATCACCAGCCTAGATTGTTGATGCCACCACACAAAGAATGTTTTCTTCCTTTTCAATGAAATATGTTTTCGATTGTACTTGAGCAGACTTTTTTTTTTTTTAAACGCAATCATCCAATTGACCAAAAGTTATTTCCGACGAAACAAGATTGCTTTTGGGGTGGCGCTAGTGTACAGTATATTCTGCAGACAAGACTTGGATCGCATTTGCTTGACTGGTCTTCTTTCTCTCCCGTCTTGATTTCATCGCTCCGACTTGACTTTTGGGCGGGCGGTCTGCGACCTCTCAAAAAATCTCGTCCTCCGCGGTTGATTTCTTCCTCCGAATGTAGTCCTACCTCAGATTTCTCCGTCTCTCATCGTGTGCAATTATCTCGGTCATCGAAACACCGAGTTTGGATTTCGATTCTTTTCCAAAATCTTCCTTCCCAGCGACATTGCATTTCCCTCTAAACTGGCTTCAAACGCATGATTGTATTTTCTTGTCGCCCCGCCCTCCTCCCCCCGTTTTAATATTGAATGTGGTTTCATTTGGGTTCAACGACAGAAAACTCTTTGTTGTCCGTTCGAGTCGTGTCTGCAGTCTATGCAAGAAGTGAGACGCGCGAATCCTCAAGTGCACGCGACGCAAACGAGGCCGTTTGTTGTTCAAGCTGCTTTCGACACGAGACGAAAATCAAATCAAAGTCTTCCGTGTAAGTTTTTTTTAGGGGGAGAAGTTTAGGCAATGAAATGCGTGCACATTATGGGCTGAATGAGACACAAGAAACTTGTTTTTATTCTGGTTTTGTGTTTTTGAATGACAAATAAAATGATACATTTGAAATGATTTGTCGAGTCGCGACCGTATTTGTGGTTTATGAAAACAAGTACAAAGGGAAAGGAAAATCTGTGTATTATAGATCATACTGTAGGTTCATTCCATGCGCTTCAATGATCCGATCGTTTATACGCGAACAAAAAGATTTAGTTTGATGAGATCCAACGTTTTCTTCAGTGTTAAAACAGCAACACCGGGCGCCGGGCGCCGAGAGAGTTCGGGTTAGGTTGTCCCAAGGCATTGAAACGAAACGAGTCATTGGATAAATGCTGCTTTTGTCCCGCCCATCGGACGCGCAGCTTCTCTGCATGATGATTGGATGATCTGTGAGGCGGAATCTCTTTTGGTCACCGGCAAATCTTTTGCCCTCCAACCCAAAAGTGGGATTGGCGGCTGGGGCAACACGACGCGTGATCACCAAGAGTTGTTTTGGATCAAATGGATTCACAGTACGGCTGAACGGATACAGTGCACGTTTCCGGGGATTGTCCGGACTTCGACAACGCGCTTCACACGCGACGTGTACAAGATGCATCTGCTCAGAATGCTCGTTCAAAGTCGGCGGAGGAAAAAGAAAAACCCCTTGATATCCAGCCATCCATTTTAGAAGATAAGAAAACCTTTAATAGTCTCACAGGGGAGAAATTCCCACTTTCTGATCGGCTTGATCCTCACAAGGGTCGCGGGGCGCGCCGGAGCCTCTCCCGGCCGTCTTCGGGCAGTAGGCGGAGGACGCCCCGAACCGGTTGCCAGCCAATCGCAGGGCACACATCCGCGCTCGCACTCACAACTTTGGACAATTGAGTGCGTTCCGTTAACCTGCCGTGCATGTTTTTCAAAGGTGGGAGGAAAGCGGAGTACCCGGAGAAAAGCCGCGCAGGCCCGGGGACAACATGCAAACTCCACGCAGGAAGGCCGGAGCCGGAATCGAAGCCCGCGCCTCTGCGCTGTGAGGCCGACGCACTCGCCAGTCGACCACCTCTTTATATATTTTTAAAAATCGATGAAAAAGTCTCGCTCCCGTGCCCGGGTTCTTCCATTCCTCACGTCGTGACGTCGCCGACGCTCCGCACGGACAAATATTTGGCGGCGCATCTCTTTCTCAAGCAACCGGTTCCTCCGAGCGTCATCCCAGGGAGATCTTCCGCTTCCGCCGAGTTGGCACGCGTCCCGCTATTTTCGTACGCCGTGGTGCCGCGCGCTCGGAAAAGGCATTTCGTGCAAACGCGGTGAGGATCATATCCGCAGCAGATGGTTGGTAAACAACAATTCGAGCGGCGAGAATGAGCGAGCCGCCCGTCGAGTGAATCTCTTTTCAAGGAGTCAAAGCGGAAAATGAAGGCCTCGACGCGAGTAGGCGGAGTCTGAAGGAAATCTGTCCAGCACAGCGGTCCCTTGACTTGAGTTTAGTTCATCTCCACATTGCTACTCGATTGACTTGAATTTAAAGTCGACTTTGCGGTCTTCCAAACCAAAACAAAAAGACATTTGCTTTTCTTTTTGGGGTGGTCATTCGTGTTCAAAGTGGACGAGCTGACGTGCGCAATGGGATTCAAAAAGGACTTTTTGAAAAAGCGTCCCACTCCGGCCCCATCTTTTGCATGTCACTGAATGAACATTCAACATTGTTATTTCGTCATGTGTCACGGCGGGTGACAAAAGCGGCCAATCGGCGCCCGTTGCGACCGATGGAGCGACTGAGGCGCGTGTCGATCGTTCGCTCGCAGAGGCTCGAAAAGGAGACCGCGAAAAGTAGTTTGTTGGCCAGACGATCGACCTCTGTACTTGCGGCGTCAACAGCTGCATCGGGGTCACGGAACCAATTCAAGCCGGCTCTCAAGGCATCGCTGTAGCACTGCGCGTACACGAGGATCAAATGGAGTAGCAAGCCAACGAAATCTCTCGGCTGCTCCGATCTTCCAAAGACCCCTTGAAACGGCGACTGCACAGCAAACTGGGAGAGTCGCCGTCCTTCTGGGCGCGGCTTCTTGACACGTTGCCGTGTGAAGCGGTCTTCGCGGCTGAATTCTTTCCATAGTTTCAGTCGCGTGTTTTTGCTCGGCCCGCACATGAAAGATGGGGAGTTTCCAAGTATGGGAAAGCCTTCAAATAGTCTCTTTTTTTTTTTGGCCTGGGAATAACAATGACGAACATACACCTCGACTTCAAGACCTCGGCGCAACAACAGTTCAACCGTCATCCTTGGCGGAGTTTTCCTCCACATCGTGGACTCGGTGCGAAGGCGGCAGGCTTTGGGCCCTCAGATTGCGACTCCTCTCCTCGTTCTCGAGCGCTTGCAGGGAGCGAACGAGAGAAAGAGGTGCCGTAAAGTAGAGTTGACCATTTGGGGATGTTTGTTTTTTGCGCGGGTCAACTACTTGGACGCGTTACCTCCTTCCGGGTGTTCGGCGGCCCCGCCGTCGTCACTGCGGGCGGCGGCGGGGGCGACGGCGACGAGCGTCCGCTCGGGCTCCTGGTTGGCCGCGATTCTCAGCCGGGCGCTCTCAAAGACGGACTTGATGACGATCGAGTCCTCGTAGATCTGCGGCGGGAAACAGAACGCGCGAATGAGATGAGCGGGCACCACCTCGAAATGAAAGTCAAACTTTGAATTGTGGTCTGTTGAGCCAAGGCCGATGTTTTACAGTCGAGACATCTCACAGCACACGCTGGGCGCACCGGATCAGTCGCCGACAAAAACGTACTAAACGGCGGCCAGCGAAGAATGACGGATGAGAACAAAACTACACGCCCTCTGGTGAGATGTTGCCTCAGCGTTGTTTGTTACGAAACAATAGCAAATAAACAACAATACGGTCAATAAACGGTTATCAAATCAGATTTTGCAACTGGAGTTTGTCATCTAAATGTGATTTTTTTGGGGGGTGTTGGTGCACCATCTAGTGGCTGAATGGCAGATGTTAATTTTGCGCCTTGTGTGTGTGCGTGTTTTTTTTTTATTATTTTATTTTTTTTTAAATCAAAGTCAGTATTAGAACACGAAGCTTGTCCAAAAATCCTCGAACTGTACAACGTACCACAAGCACCTCTGGTTTGGCTGCTTTTAGGTGTTCATCACTTCACCAGCGGAGGCAGCAATGTGATCGATTGTCGAGTGTGAACCGAAGAAGAAAAAGAAGACGACGGCAACGGGACTCCCAATTTCCTCTTTGTAGCGAACAGTGAGCGCAACTTTGTTTATTCTTGCGGAAGCATCGAATGTAAGTCTTTTTCTACTCCATTCCGTGTGAAATGTCCACATCCGCACGATTTATGGGTGAGCTAAATGCTACTTTTTAAAAATGTTGTGACCCAAAATGCTGATCGCTGGCGCTGATCGCGATTGCTAACAGTTGAGCAAAGAGTCATTTTAGCGGTGCCGATTATGAACATCTCTGAACATTAAACTGCAGCTACTTCCGTTCATACACTTTAAGTCAGCTTTAACTTGGTAAAAAAGATGTGCGTGCTTGTTGGGTGTGTGCAGTATCTTGCTCAAGGACACTTGGGCAAGTCCGCAATGGCCGGGTATCCCCCACCCCTCCCCATACGACTCACGTTTTTGCACTTTTCGGTCTGCACGCCCACCAACCTTCCCGTAGGGTAACCCAACGAGACCCAACTAGATGTCAGTAGCCTCCTGGACTGAACCAGTGTCACCGAAAGCCTTACTGCTGGTTTCACCTCACGGGTCCCGTGTCGTGTGCAGATCGGTGCACGTGAATGCCGACGCGTTTCCAGTCAGACGCGGTTGTTCTGCTAGGGCGCTGAAATACTAGTGAGGATAAAGAGCGTACTACCGTAGTCCAAAACAAATATCTTCTATCACGTCATGGTCAGAGCTGAGTTCTCCCGAACCGATTGCCAAGTCCAATCCCAATTGCGGCGTTCACCTGAGATCCTTCCAGGTTGTACGTCTGAGCGTTGTGACAGAGCAGGAAAATGTCTTTCTCCAAGTCCCCCACATTTCTGTACTTGTGATTTCGCACTCTCTCCTGTCAAAACAAACGACAACGACGACGACGTCAAGGCGAGAGCAGGACTCCGGCGGGAATCGGGACCGGCGCGTTTGCGCGCGCTCACTCTGATCCGTCGGAAGTCCACGGGCTTTCGGATGAGCTCGTAGTACTCGGGGGCTTCCTTCCTGGATGGCAGCTGGACAAAACCTTTGCTGATCTGTCGCCCCAAACTGGAGGGAGAGAGCAAGCTCGGTCTCACGCGCCCTTACGTTGCTCCTTTCGATAAAAGCGCTGCCGACAGGTGCGCGGGGTTGCCCCGTTACGGCGTTCTGCCGAACAAAATGTCGACGACCTCCGGGAAGGGAGCCGACGGTCGTGACTTTGCCGGAACAAAGCCGATGCCGATGGCTTCCGTTCGCGCAGCCGACTGCCGTGGCTTTGTTTTTCGCAACAAAGCGTCGACCGCCTCGGACAACGCAGCCGACCGCCGTGACTTGGAGGCGACCCAAGCGAGTAGGTACAACCGCCAGGTATTGAACCGACGCCGTTACTTTGTTGGACGGAAACGGCGCGTCTCGCTTTGAATCCACGCGGCGTCGTTGGTCGAGCTCCGAGATCGGAGCCGACCGTCGCTCCCTCGTACCGAACGACGCGTGTCGGAACGAAGCCGGGCGGGCGCCTTGGAAGAGTCAACAACCTCCACAAATGCGGCACCTCCGGCAACGGAGCTGATAGGTGTACTTTTGTTTCGCATCAAAATAAGTACCGACGGTGTCTGAGAAGGGAGCTGACCGCCGTTACTTTGTTTGAATCGAGCGGCGGCCGCCGCCGGCCTCCGGCAATAGCGCTGACCCCCGTCGCTTGGTTTTGCTGAACCGAGTGTGGGCAAACTCCCAAGAATCGAGAACGCCGTTGCTCCTCTGTGGTCACGTACCACAGAGGAGCAACGGCCCGCAGGTGGCAGGAAGCAACGCGAAATGGGGCGGGCGGCCGCAACTTTGTTTTCAATCGACAAAGCGCCCCAAAAATCTCAACCCTAATTGACCGCTTGAGTCTGACCGTCTGCAGGAACGAAGACGAGCGTTGCTATTTGGCGGCGAGAACCTCCGAGGGCGCGTCGTCTCGTTGCTGCGTTTGACGAGCCCGCAATGTGGACAACGCGTCGGCAACCCGCGCCGATGGAGGCCAACGTTGCGACCGCGCTTTCCTCACCTGTCCTTGTAGTTGACCACCATGTCCACCAGCGCGCTCAGTTGCCGAGTGAGCTCGGGCGGATTCGGGGGCAGCTTCTCGGCGGGCGGTCGCCCTCGTTTCCGTTTGACTTTTTCGCCTCTGCCGTCGTGCGCCGCCGCCGCCGCCGGCAGAGGCGGCTCCTTGTCGCGTCCTTCGTCGTGTTTGCGCTTCCTCGGGTCGCCGCGGTCCAGAGCCTCCATCTTCCCGCCGGCTTCCGGCTGCGGTTCGGGAAAGCGTCCCGCTTAGAACTTCAAATGATGCGGCTCGTCGCCGGCCGGTGCCGCGGTGGCAAAATATCGGCGTGACATAAATCCTCCCCGGGGAAAAGTTCTTTCGTCAACTGCGCGACAACAATCAGGCGGCTCACCTTTGCGACAAGAATCCGCCATTGTAACTCATACAAGTAAGCGTGAGTTGCGTATGATTGCGCACAAAAAAAAAAACGGGGCTCGGTTGGCTTTTCAAGTGAGTCGTCGAAAAGTGCCTTTTTTCTCCTTCCTGATTCGGGGGAAATGCAGATGTCAATCGATGACATCTTTTGGGGTACTTTTGAAGTCTAGTTTCCCCTTTTTAAATGAAAGCCTTCCATAAAATTCACAAAACTCGCTCAGTAGAATTGTGTACAAATAGCACTGGGCGCGCTGTCGTCATTGTGCAAAACGTTTCTGGGAGGAAAACATTTGTCGTCTCAGTCCCGTTTGAAATGAATGAATGAAGTGGTTTTGGATGGCACAAACAAGAATTTCGTGGGATTTCATTCCAAAAACAACGTGACAGAAAAATGCAGCGGCGTGTCCGACTTTGCACTCCGGAATTGGAGTCGGATTTGCGTACAAACTCGGTTCATACCGTACGATTTTCTGTCACTGGTCGATAGCGGATGGATTTGTTGCACGCGGGTGTGGACAAGGTCGAAGTTTTGAACCACAAATTTTCTTTGACAAATTTCCAAAGCATCAATCCAAAAATCCAAGACGGAATTTTAGCCAAACCTCCCAAAAAGCTCAATGACAGATTCCTTGCTGAAATTTGACAAAGCGAAGCCTCACTGCGCCACGTTTTGCATGTTCCAACGTTATTGAGTAACAATTGCCCACGAATCGTCCTTTGCGCACGCAAAGGATTTCCCGAGCGCACTTTAGCGTTCCTTCCGGTTTGTGCTGGACGCGCGGCATTTGCTTGATGTTTTGTTTCACCCCGCAATATCGTTTCGAGGCAACTTGGGGCACGCCGCTCTGCCTCCGGACCAAAGCGGAAGACTGATCCGCGGTTGCGCATCACACGCCGAACAACACGGATGCTCAAGGACACGGCTGACGGCGCCGAGATGTTGGTAAACAAACGAAATGCACATGTCGACGTGGGGCGGGGGGTGGGTCGGCGGGGCGTCTGCAGCATCGCCCTGGAGGAATGAAGGCGTCATCCCCCAGGCAGCCACGGTCCACATTCCCGCCACGCCGAGCCTTGCCTCTTCCCCGGCGACCGAGATTCCACTCCCACTCTCACATCCAAATGCTCCCTCTCTCACGCACGTCCGACCGGGAATGTCGGGGGGTTTACCTGAGCGCGGTCTGCGGGATCCAGCGCGGTGGCGGCGGCGGCGGCAACGGCGGCGGCGGCGGGGGAGAGAATTAGCAAGCCCGCATAGCAGCGAGCTGCTAGTCTCTTCATCAGCTGATCACTCAACGAGAAGCGGAAAGGGGGAGCGTCGAGGGGTGGGGGCTTGTGTAGGGGGAGAAAGAAAAAGCACTATGTTTTCATATACAAATCGACGAGGGGGTGGGGGTGGGGGGGGGCAATGCGGACGCTCCCGTCTGCATGGCTTCCCGACGTCTGCGGCAGGCAGGCCCCGAGCGAGCGCCTCTCCCTCTCCCTCCGCATGCTTTGGACATCCCCGCTCCCTTTCTTCCCTTTGCCCCCTCCCTCCCCACAAAGGTCCGCGTTTGGCTTTGCATTCCATCGGAGCTGAGCGGGGGAAAGCGGCCCGACGCGCTTCCCGGCCCGTCAACGCAAGGACTCGGATTACGAGCGCCGGAACGAGGTTGAAACCGGCCGAGGCCGAGCCGACCTCGGGCGACATCTGGTTGCCGTTAAGCTATGACTCGGATTTTTCCATCCGGGCGTACAAAAAACCCCCCCAAACGCTACTCCCCCCCCCAAAAAAAACAAGTTTGAGAAAGCTGGCTCAAAAGCACCTCGGCTGGGCTGCGCACCGTTCCGCCGTGTGGGGTTTGGAAAGAAAGCCGTCCGCACGCGAACTTGCGTCTTCTTAGCAAAGCCATGAAAGTGTGCATCGGGACAAGCCAAGGCGAGAAGGGCCGTATGGCGTCGCTCGCCACCCCGCGCCCGCACCCGCACGCCCATAATGGAGTCAATTCGACTCATGTGGTCACAGCGCCGATGATGGAAGTGCCCACGAGCAGCCCCCTTCATGCAGCAAGAGAGAAATGGAGCCCGATGAGCGCACGAGCGTGAAGCGCATCCCAATTTTGAAGCCAACTTGAATCGCTCGTGAGCCCACCGGGTTCGGGACGACTCCCGCTCACCTCTCGGAGGCCCTTGATCAACGGTCCTTTGCTGACTTTGGCTGGAAGGGAGAAATTGGCCCGGCACGTGATGGGTATGTGCGACGGGTGGGCGCCACGTCCAGACAGATGATGGGGACACCCTCTCGCTTGATTTCTCCCTCCCAAGTGAAATCGTTGATGACGAAAGGCGTTGGTGACGTGACTAACGGCCCCGAGCAGCTGCAGCGCGGCGCCCGTACGCGAGAACGCTCAAGCCCGATTTTCAGGGCTGTGGTGGATGCGACCGCTTGCCCGCTGCCTAGCTAACGGAGGACCGTGTCAATGTGACGAGTCGCCCCCGACGGTCATGGCCACGTCAAGCCCAGCGGACGCTCAGCGACTCCTTCCACGAATGACCGCGTCTCAAGGCTCTGCCCGAGTTTTCGCTCTGATTTTGGGATGGCGATGCCAAAGGGTCATTCGCAGCCTCGTCGTCACTTTTGAGCACCCCTCCAACTCACGGCCGAGGCATTTTTTCTGTTATTTTCTGGCATCGTCTTCCGGATGCGCGTTGAAGGCAGGCAGGCGCTCTTGTTAGCGAAGAACGCAGCCGTTCCAATATTGAGCAAAAAGCTACGCCGAACATCTGACGGCATTGCAGCATCGTCTCGAGCGGATGAAGGCGGGCAAACCGGCGGCGGTCGCGCCTTTTCCTGGGAAGCGCTCCAAAACCGCTGGCAGTTGCCGTGGCAACAGCAAATGGATGCTTAGCGGCGCTTGTACGATTTGATTTGATGGCGCTTGCCGGGAACCCGCTCCTGCTCTCGCACAAACGCGCACGCAGGCGCCGTTGTTTTGATGAAACGCGCATACCGTTGGAAAGGACGTTTCTGACCGACTTTCCCTTTCATCGCACTCGATGATCTTGGGTGACATTGAGCGAGCAGCGACTTATTTAGTCATTCTTGTTTGGCACGACGTAAATGACCTCGAGTTGTGTTTTTCTTTGGTGCCAGGGGGCGTCCATCGTGAATCATTGCAATGTGGTGTACAATGTCCTTTCCCACTCCATTGACGCGAATCACAAATGACAGAAAATCGCGAGTGTGTCGGGAAAGATTGGGCAACGTTTATTTGTGTTACCTAGGCGCTCGAGCCAACACAAACGGCAAATATTTTGTTGTGTTCGGCGCTAAAGGAACACAGATTGGCGAATCCCTGGTCGGCTTGCGTTTATCCTTCATCCAGAAAAGAATTAGGACCGTCCACACTGATGAGCCTGTTACACACACACACACACACACACACACACACACACACACACACACAGACTAGTTTGAGTCTTCTATCACCAAATAAAGACATAAAAAGCAATTCCCACATGTGCATACCTCAGCATGCGCTTTGGAGAAGTTGGCATGCGAGTAGAGAAGCACGGCGATGTCATCGTGTCCCGCCTCCAAGGCAATAGTCAAGGCCGTGCTGTCATCCTGAACACAAAATCACTCTGTTGGCATACTAGAAGCAGCTGTCTGTGTGTGTGTGTGTGTGTGTGTGTGTTTGGGATGGGGGGTGGGGGTGCGGTCAGTAAGCTGCACTCTGCTGCCATCTGCTGTGCCTTCCTTTTAACGGCCGCCATCGAGTGCCACAGCACTGCAACTTGTGGATTATTTGTCGACGTTGCGCAAGGTGATCACCAATAACTGGAGAGAGTAGCGATTGGACCGACTATATTTAAGAAACATACGCGCTCACGTTCGTCTGGATTCTCGTCGTTCTGCTTCTTGGAAGAGCGTCAGGTGACGGCGATCGGGATTTCCCCAAGGACACGCCGTACATACTGAGCGCGTGGCGGACTTTTGGGCATGGGGCTCGTTTCCGCGGCGCAAGGTGTCATTTTCGTGGCGAATACCCGCCGTCGCGTCGGCGTCGGGTGCGTTTTGAGCCGTCACTCACGCTGTCCTTGAGCGCGGCGTCGCACCGGGGCTGGTCCAGCAGCAGCTTGACCATGGCGGCGTGGCCGTGCTCGCTGGCGCACATCAGCGCCGTGGAGCCCTCGTCGTCCTGCGCGTTGACTGCGGCGCCGCGGGCCAGCAGCGCCCGTACCATCTCCACGCGGCCGTGGCTCACGGCGAGCATCAGCGCCGTCTGACCGGCCTGGTTGGCACACGGCGACAATTGCGTTCAACGGAGGGGCGGCTCACTCGTGAGTCGCCAAAAAAGAAATCTCTGGAAATGCGATGGAGCCAATCGGTTCACTTTGCCTTCTTTCATCGTGGAAGCAAGGCTTTTCAATTTGTCTTCAAAAAATAGGTCGTACATATGAATACATTC